TTAGGTCAACTGAACTATTCAAATTTGTCGGACCCCACTAATCATATACTATTAGTTGTAATCTATCATAGTTGCAAAATTTTTATTCAGGTATGTTGACACAAATGCACTGAATCAACTTTCAAGTATACGTTTGAAATTAAATTGCAATTAATGGACCTCCACTAACTTTTTGTCGCAATAGTAAATTTATTTTTCTATTAATTTTCGAGTTGTTTTTAGTAAAGTGGACTTGCAAAATTTTGAGATATTTAGTTGATCAGTAAGGCGCTAAGACGACTGTCTACATTTATAGTTCAACAGTTATGCAACTTGTGCTTCGAGAAAATCACACAGGAATACTGGAGAAGTAGGATATGCGTTCGATCTGTTTAAGGAGATCATCTTTCAAACCAAAATCACTGTGGCTGACGAAATAATGCTTGTGAAGTCAACACCGAAATCTGTCCTTATTCTCTGGTTACATGTGCGTACTTTTTTCTGTATGTATTATACATTTACATAAATGACAGTTTGGCCCTTTGTGCAAAGTAAGAGATACAGTTGGACTAATTTAAAACTCCTATCCGGTATTGTGGTGGGATCTAATGGCCATGCTATATAATATGAACATGGTTATGAAACCATTTTTCGCATATTATCTAGGAATTTCGCCAGTGGTCATCTGCTTTCCCGTAAGTGTACAATAAAGAAAATATCGAAGCAGTTAAGTTTTCATTTATTGTAAGCACACAGACATATTAAAGGTTTGCAATAATTAAAAAAAGTAGAGGAATATAAACAAGACCTTTGGAGGCGTCCGAGGTAGATGTGGAATCTGGATCCGATGGGGAAGGCGGCGTGGAGGTAGGCGGAGTAGGTTTTTGGGAGGTTGATGATACATTGAAAGCTATTCGGACCAGGTCTGTCTTAGTAGCGCCGGCCTGTGGAACGAGAGCAAAGGACTGTTCACCTTTCTCAGTGGTAATGGTTCCCTTTACTTCTGTTTGGTTTATATGTCCCGTAAGCAGAAGAATGTTCTCTTCTTTAAAGTTTTAAAAGAAAAACAGTTCACTTTTAAAGTGAAAATATTCATATTTTATAATTAACTTTGAGATATATACCTAAGCCGGGGATTGAGGACCTCAAAATTATAATTTACCATGAGTAGCATTGAAAATAAAACTTATTTACCATAAATTTGAAAAGCAACAGCACCTAGACATTTGACTATTAAACTGGCTCCCTTTAATAGACACCTTAACGCAAAACAGTAGGTGGACGATGTTTCTCCTTGAAGCGTTATTTAAAAATTAACATCGCGTATTTTTTATTCAATTTTTTATTGATCCGGATTGTCTAAGTGGGTAGCGCATTATTCAGTTAACGAAATAGTTGACATAGCTGTTTTTCTTTTGTGAGTAACTACTCTCCGTCAATAAAATATGTGTAAAGTTAATGTTCTTCTCCTCCACTTATGCAGTGTAATAGAGACAAATAATGCGTCATGAGTAGTTTTAAATATTTTTAATCAGAATACAATAGTCGATGGCTAGAAACGCATGCGAACTTACTGTATGGGACCATGAGGGAATATTTTAAAGGATCTTTATCCCCCATCTCTATATATTCACCGACTTCTGCATTCTAAAACAAACGTGCATTGTAGTTAGGTAATAAATAATGGGCACTTTGAAGGATTAAAAAATGTGATGCTTTATATGTTTAGCTTACATCTACGGGTTCTTCGTACACAAAGTACACCATTTTGTTGGGTTCGGGCTCGACCACGTATTTGTTTCCGACAGGCTTTGGTAGTTTCGCGACTGTCAGGCCATGCGAGAGTATTAAAGAAACGAAAAGTTAAAGTTAAGTTTATTGATATGTAAATTTTACAGAAAGCGAAGATTTAAACTGTTGGCATACAATAGGTTTCCCCTAAATATTAATCTAATAGGAATTTCACAGGCCACACAACTAAGGCTATAGCAGTATTATCACTTTTCTTTTTGACTTAAATGCCTAATATTGAAACATAATGCGGCAAGTATAAAACATAGAAAACGACATTATAGCTGACAGAGTAAGTTGCATATAAATTATTTGTTTTGGTTCCAGATGCTAAAAGGTACCTCCTCCATCTTCAGTTTCCAGGAGAATTCCGGTGGGAAGTTTCGTTTTGGAAACTGGAGTTAAAATAATGTAGTCCGGTGTGACGCGATGGTTTACTTTCAAAATTGAGTAATTCTTCTCTATAAAGGCAGGAAAAATGCATTTGTAAATACTGCGATACAAATAATTGCCCAGATACGTAAAACGTATTGAATAATCTTGAGTATGAATGGACCAAGGTAAAGAACATAATATTTTGCTTCCCTACGCTCAGCGAAACCTTACCATTTAATAATTGCCAACAGGATGCATTTACTTTGCAGGGATCGTCGCGTGTCCCCTGGTGAACTGCTTCATTCCCCAGTTTTACTTCCTGAATCAGAAACGGATATATGAGTGTACGAACAGCTTTAAGGCGTTCCTTTGGATACACACACTGGAGGAAACTGCACACTTACCGTTGGTGCTCCGCTTAAGTTGAATATGGTCACAAAATCCTTATTTTCCTCTACAGTGATTTTCTCTGCTAAAATACGAATATATTGTGATTAAGACTTTACAAGGGGGCATTGCATTGCAGTTTTAATGAGGTGGTGCACTTACCGGCAGCGCAAATGACGAAAGGCAGGAAAAGACACAGGATAAGCATTGCTGCTGAAGATAGACCAAGTTGCCATGACGTGCTACTTTTGCGTGTTTAAATATGTGTGTGTGTGTAGAGACAGTAGCACAAACACGCACATGATCATGCCACTAATGCGTAGCGCACCTTGACGTGGGCATTACTGCTGCCTATTAACTTTAGAATACGTAGAGTACAACTAATTCCTAATCAGCATTCATGACTCTACACATTTTAAAACCAGCCCTTGTTTAAAACGAACGCAGCCAATGCATGTTCATTGACGTATTGTTAAAAAAAGTTAAATGTCACGGTTTGATGGGTTATCCCTTTTTGTAAATGTTAAGTGGGCGATGTGTACTTTAAAGTTGAGCGAATGTCTGTAAAAAGGCAGCAATTGTTGTGGCCGAGTAAGGCATATTGTGCACATTCAGCGGTCAGTCCTCTGCTAAGTGCGTAGGTGGACTTCACTTGTTTATAGGTTTAAACATTTGGTATAGTAGATACAATTTAATGATTTATATTATATTTTAGGTTCTTTTTTGTTAATTAAAATTACGTGGCATTCGTATAACACGAGGTCGCTAGTAATGCTTCGATTGTTGATATGATGTTTATAGTAAGCTGCGAGATGGCACACCTGCATTGTATTAAAATGTGCCATACTTTTCGATAAAAATCGATCCTGTACCAGAACCTGAATATAATTGTAGGGGACAGACTGAACATTTATCCAGCACCAGACACGTCCTTGCAAAAAAACCATCACATAAATTTAGAAATAGAGAAGAGAAAGAGTTAGTAATTTTCGCAAATTCTTGAGATATATTTGAGCAGTGTTTTTTAAGTTGGGATCTTTGAACAGGAGCCTTACTGTTTCATTTTTTCAGGCAAACTAAAAAGTGGAAAAAAGCTCCATTTTATTTTTGATGATACTTTGCAAAAAAATTGACATATTAAGATATTCGTCAGCTGAACGACTAAGGAAATTGCTTCGTAAAGTGATGACTTATTAGAGAAATTTGTTAACTGATCTTATACATAACAATATCAGACTCCTGTTATACATGTCCTTTTGCCCAAAAATTAGGTTTTTTGTCCTGCATGAATAATCAAAAATCACGTTTTGGTAGTTTTTTTATAGAAAAGTCAAACAGTATCTACACACAAGGAATAAATCCTGAGAGCACTGATAATCGTCAAAAACTTTCTGGAATTAAAAGACGAGCTGGAAGTAATTGTACTTCAACACCCATAATGCGAATAACACGATTCGATGGAAAAAGTAATGCTGTCATAAAGAAACCGGCATAGTTAAAATTTCACCTAACGATTATACATACACGTGAACTGGAAAATCGGCACCCCAAGAACTATAATTCAGTAGAAGAAGTCCTTTGGGAAACGGTAATTTATTGCCTGAATTTTCGATACTGGCTCACCGGGTCGTCGGCAGTCAGATAACAGTTGTAAGAAACAGTACAACTTTCATCCGTCTGCCGACGACCCGATGAGCCAGTGTCGAAAATTCGCAAATCGAAAGACTTCTTCTGCTGAATTATACCTATATATATTGGTCTTATCTACATCTTTTTTTCACGTCGGGCTGCATCTCATGGTTTCCTTGGAAAGTCTTAAATGCTCCTCGGTTTGAAGGGTCCTTCCCTATTTGATTTTGAACGACATCTTCAATTGTTTTGACAGTCCGCCATGCCTACGGAAGTGTCTTGAAAATAATTGTGATAGGTGCTTTTGCGTTTGGATAGAGGTGGGGCGCAAAGTGCAGCATGAAAAGTGTTCTTGTCTGTGAACACCCGCGGTACCCTCTCACAGAATAATATCTTCGGTCTAGGTTGATCAGTCTTAACGATGTTATCGTCACGTACAGATTTGGATCCGCTTCAACATGACATAAATGCACTACAACGATCGCCTGTTGCAACATGGTGCAACGACCCAAGGGACTAAATGATTTTTTAAGTACACCAAGGTTATGTGCTCAAGTGCCTGCGAAGATGCCGGTGCCCGTTTCCCTTCAAAACCGCTGACTTACCGCCTCGCAATGTATCGCCGTCGTAATCGCACCGTTTTCGCTCGCTCTATGCCAGCATGTAGTGGCCCCTAGCAGCCACTTGGAACACAAGATCAGCCGCTGACGCATGGCGCCTTTGGCTTTTGGCCTGCACGCCCACTGCCGGCTGGGGCCAGACGCTAACTCGCTGACCCTGGCCATGCGCCCACGCTAGCCAGCCATCACCCATCTCAAGGTCGCACCATG